TTCACTAGAGACAGGAGAATGCCAACAAAGTTCAATGTAACTGTGCTAGACACTATTAAAGGAAAAAATGGGGGAAAATAAAGATATAATCCCTACTGAAAAGAAATACACAATCCACAGGGGAAGATATAGTTGTACTTAACTATTCTACTGGACTTCATGGAAGCAGTGGCATGGCATTTGAGCTAAGTTCTAAACAATGAATAAAATTTCCATACACCAGGAGTAGCTGGAAGAAAAATCAGCACTATGTAAAGTAGCAAATGCTTTTTTAAAAAAGCTTATATTTTTAGGAAATAGTAGGTAGACCTTGTAGTTGAAACACCTAGCATTTAGGGAGGTGGGGGAGTAAAAAAAGGCCAAGTGAGAAAGGTAGCTGGGAGCAAAATATAGAGATTTTTGAAAATTAAGATAAGGGTTTAGGTACTATTATGTATACATTGGGGAGCCATCAAAGGTATTTAAACTGGGGAAGGATATAGTAAAATATGTCATTACAAAAATAATTAAAGAAGTGATTTAAGAAAAGATCACAACATGATTAGATTACCAAAGTAATAAAGGCTAGAGATGACTGAGTAGTACATAGACATTAGGAATGAAATGCAGAAAAATAGGTAGAAAAAGATGAATGAATAGGCACAGCTTTGCAGAGAAGTCAAAGGTAGAAAACTAGGATTTGGTCACAGTGTTCCTCAAAGTATAGCTCAATTAAATTCATACTAGTAACATGGAAAACCACTAAGGAGGGTAGTATTTACCCTCTCCAATGCTAGTGACATGAAATTTGAAATGAAATGAGAAAAGCTTTGTGATGGGAATAACAAGTCTTCAGAAGCCCTTTACAAGAAATATGAAAAACAAGATGTAAGCTAATAGGGGGACACCATAAGGTCAAAACCATGAGTGTAAAAAACAAAAAGGAGGAAAAGGTAATGTTTAATTTTTCCATTAGACAAAAGAGTGAAAAGAAGGATAAGCACCCTATAAATTTAACTTTTTTTTTTTTTTTTTGGCAGCTGGCTGGTATCAGGTGCCAAACTCTTGACCTTGGTGTTACAAAGCAGTGCTCTAACCAACTGAGCTAACCAACCAGCCCCAACCCTATAATTAAGAAGTTGATCCTATATTTTAAAAGGGATGAGGGGAGGGAAAGGGAGAATAGGGCTGATAGACTATGTCTCTTTCCTATGTGGCTATGGTAATAGGGAAGGACTCCAAAACACAGGGAAAGGGTTTCAGACTGCCATACAACCAATCCATACTAAGACTGACTATAATTTTTCCATATAACCAAGCAAGACATTTAAGTCTTTACCAATAGGAATGGATATGTTCGCATAAAATGACATTTCCAAAAGATAATAAAACTTGGTAAATAAAGAATTTCAGCATAGACTTACAGTGTTGTAAAGTTCTTCTAGTCTCGGAATGGTAAGGAATTTATGCATGCTTACTCCATTTTCAATAAGAAGTTTTACAAATGCAACTCTATCCATTACAAGAGCATCAAGCATAGCTTGTTCCAAGGATCCAACCTAAAAGAGCATCAAAATTAATAAATGTATTTCACATATTCTAATTATACAAACACTCCTAAATGTAAGTCCTTAGGATTTACACCTATTTGTTCCCAAAACAAATTTCAGAAAGTTTTAGAACAAAATTAGAAAGATGCAAAATAGTAAAAGGCTAGACTTAAGGTATTAAGGGAATAGATAAAAGACTTCTATAGAACACTATTCCCCAGAGAATATTCTATAAACACTATTGCTGTAGGAGATGAAGTGTTATTTGGGGGAAAAAAACCCCAAAAATCCATCATCAATTAAATTTGGGGGAAAAAATACCTTAGGGCAATGATTCTCAACATTTAGGTTTTTGGGGGGGATCATTTCAATAGTTAGGGGCCATTACTAACATTTAATGGGTAGAGTCAAGGGATACCAGAAATCATGCAATATGCTGGACAATCCTGCTCACAAAGGAACTGTCTTACATCTCACACAACTTTCTATTATCTTGTTAGATGCTCCTTAGTGAAAAACCAGTAATTCTGCTTCACATGTGAACACAAAATATTCTGTTATGGTTTTTGTTCTATAACGAATTTTCCAAAAATACAACTACTAAAGTCAGGCTAGACTGTAATTAGTTTTCTTTAGAACTTTAACAGAAATGATTCACTATTAGGTAAAAATCACATTTCTAGACAGCAATACAACCTGTCATTTGAGTATAATATAACACATCTGTATTGGTCAGTATTTGTACCTGTCCTTTGTATATTTTTAGAGCCTATTTTATAAACTTTTCAACAGACTTCTTAATCAAATACTGGCAAATTAGTGGAGACACATGAAAAATAGGGATTTCACTGAGTATCATCAATAAAGATTGTTTTAATATCTCTTATCATTGCTTCTGATTATTTTTAATATTTTGGTACCACATAAGAAAATCTTCATGGCAAAAATCAATATCAAAATTACTAATTTTTAATCGGTTATTTTACAGTCTTGTTCTGATCTGTCTTCAGAAGTTTACTACACAACTACATAACTTTTCTATAGCAGCTTGTATTATCATTTCTTTCTCCTGTCTATTCTTGGTTTCCATCACCTAGCAAAGGATATGGTCTCCAAGATCTTTTTAAAGTGCATCCTGATGAAATGTATGCCTTATACATGACGTGATTTCAAGATATAACGTATGTTTTCCATATTTTTTCACTACTCTCAGTTCTGTCATAACAAAATATTTTGACATTACACTTAAAAATAAGGCCTAACTTAAAACGACGGAATATTCATTTTCTCTACATCAGCAGCCTGTTATTTATCATGACATGTTATTCCTATTTTACTTAAGATTATTTTCTTCTTTCTCTTATCACATATAAATAACTGATTTGTTATTACTTATTCTAACATTAACAGTCTGAAGTTACTCTTGGTTAACTCAGTTGGTTACAGTGCGGTTCTGATAACACAAACATCCAGGGTTTGACCTCTGTGTTGGACAGCTGCCAATACACACACACACACACACAATTACTTTAGTGCCCATCAATACACACACACACACACACACACACACACACACACACACACACAAAATTACTTTAGTGCCCATTTGGTCCCTCTCTCTTCTCTTTCCCTGTTCTGTACCTGCAAGGGATGTTCTTCTGTTTCTCACAGTATTTAAGTTACCAACAAGATACCTGTATTAGTTTGCATGAAAAACTGTAGCATTTACACTGATTCTATGTATAGTAAGTGCAAGCACTTGTCTTATTACATCTTTTATGTTGCCATTCTTGAACATCTTCACACTAAAATATTCATTTTTTTTTATTATAAATCACTTTTCTTTGTCTTATTACAATAGGACATTATATTCATTTGTTTTTTAAAATTTATTTTTGTAGTACTTATGAAATTTCATTTTAGCATAATAAAAGGCGGCATAACAAAATTCTTGTTTTTAAAAAAAGAGCATTCTATCGGACTGGGTCTATAACCACTGCCGTAGAAAAACAAAGCTTGACTAAATTTTCATATCTGAGAAAAAAAGGTGCAGTTAAAAAAATGTATCTGCTTTGTAAGCAGCATTTCTTCATTCACTCAATGCATACTCAACTCCTGGCAATCAAGAAGGAAAAAAGTAAAGCAGAACAAATCCATGAGAGAAACCACATATACACATTAGATGAAGCCTTCATCCAAGCCTTCACATATCTGAGGAGAGCAAAAATCCAACGAAATTATTCAAGGGAATAAAAGGTTGGTTTACAGTTTTGAGTTTTGCTACAACTGATTAACACCAATTACTTCCTCTGCAGTACCACAAGGAAGGGAAGTAACTAAATTAATTTTTTTTATTGTTATATAAGAAATACATTCCCATGGTTTTTTTAAAAACAGTCAAACACCACAAAATGTTATAACTTTTGTTTTGTTTTCTTATAACAAAATAACTTTCTCTCTTCTGGCCCTCATCTCTCCAGACATATCCCATGTTAACAGTTCTAAAAAGGCACTACGATCACACAGAACATGTAGATACGCATGAATAGTACATTCATAGAGAGAATTTGCCACAATTAAGATTATACTATTGCAAACTTTCTGGAAGCTGCTGCTCACATTTACTATGCTTATAAAAATGATCTAGCTCATTCAGGATGGCCAATTAGCTCAGTTGGTTAGAGAACAGTGTTATAATGCCAGGGTCGAGGGTTTGAATCCCTGTACCAACTGCCAAAAAAATTAAAAAATGAAAGATCTAGCTCATCTTCTATAAAGGCTGGTAATACTCCAAAATACAAATGAACATTTAATTTATCCAGCCTCCTACTGACTCAAACATGTAACAAAAATTTATCAAGGCTTTATATGCCAGGCTGTGAATACAACAGTAAACAAAACTGAAAAATACTCTTCCCCAAGTAAAATTTACTTTCTAGGAAGGAATGTGCTTCAGTGCAATAAAAGCCATATATGACAAATCCACAGTAATACCTAACTGAACAGACAAAAGTAAAAAGCTTTTCCTCTAAGATCCAGAATAAGAAAAGGATGTCTACTTTCCCCATTCTTATCCAACATAGTACTGGAAGTTCTAGCCAGCACAATAAGAGAGAGCAGTAAAGAGCATTCTATCCCTATTTGCAGATGACATGAACATATACATAGAAGCCCTAAAGACTCCACCATAAATTACCAGAATAAATGAATTCAGTAAGTGGCTAGATACAAAATCAACACACAAAAATCAACAGTGCTCCTATAAGATAAGAGCTGAAATAACTGAAGAAGGAACCAAGAACATAATCCCATTCACAACAGCTACCCAAAATATGAAATACATAGGAATAAATTTAATCTGGAGGTAAAAGACCTCTCCAACAAAAACTATAACATATTGATGAAAGAAATACAAGAAGAAATAAATGGGAAGATACTCCTGTTCATCAGCTGGAAAAATTAATATCATCAAAATGTCCATATTACGCAAAGCAATCTATACTTTCAAAACGCAATTCCTGTCAAAATACCAATGACATTCTTCACAGAAACAGAAAAAACAAAAATGTATATAAAACCACGAATAACCCTGTACAGCCAAAGTAATTTTTCTTAAACAAAAAGAACAAAGTTGGAGGCATCATATTACCTGATTTCAAAATATACTATAAAGCTATAGTAACCAAAACAGCATGGTGCTGACATAAAAACAGAAACATTGACCAATGCAACAGAATAGAGAGGACAGAAATAAATCCATGCATTTATAGCTAGATGATTTTCAAAAAAGGGGCCAAATAGCCAACAGGCATACGAAAAAAATGCCCCAAATCACTAATCGTCAGTGAAATGCAAATCAAAACCACAATGAGATATTACCTTACTCAAATTAGGATGGCTATTATAAAAAAGACAGGGCTGGCCAGTTAGCTCAACTGGTTAGAGAGTGGTGCTGGTAAAACCAAGGAGAAGGGTTTGGATCCTGTACGAGATAGCTACCCAAAAAAAAAAAAAAAAAGTCAGAAAATAACAAATGTGGAGAAAAGGGAACTCTCCTGCATTGCTGGTGGGAAAGTAAATCAGTACAGCCATTGTGGAAACAGTATGGAGATTCCTCACAGAGCTAAAAACTGAACTACCTTATGACCTAGTAATCCCAGTTCTGGGTATATATTGAAAAGAAATGAAATCAATATATCAAAGAGACACCTGCATTCCCATGTTCACTGCAACACAACAAGAGATGGAATCAACCTAAATGCCCATCAGTGGATGAATGGATAAAAAAACTGTGGTATATATAAACAATGTTAATACTATGCAACTATTAAAGAAAATGAAATCCTGTCATTTGCAGCAACACAGATGGAACTGAAGACCATCATGTTAAGTGAAGTAAGCCAGGCACAGAAAGACAAATATCACATGACCTTACTCATATGTAAAATCTTAAAAAAAAAAAAAAAAAAAACACCAATAAGTGGTTCTCACAGAAGTAGAGAGCACAATAATGGTTACCAATGGCCAGAGAGGAGGAGGTGCAAGGAAGTCATAGATTAAAGGGTTCGAAGTTATGCTATCTACCCTGAGTGAATCAATGTACAGTATACTCATGCATTAAAACAACACACTTCACCCCACAAATATGTACAAATAAATGATAAAATTTTTTAAGAAGTAACATTACCAAAAATAAACAAACAAACTAGTCTGGGATCCGAAAATGTTTTTTTACTTTCCAGGAGTAGAAAAATAAATAATAAATAGCTAAATGTATATGGTTTGTCATATCATGATAAATGCTAGAGAGAAAAAAATGGCAGGGAAGAACACATGATATGCTGCCATAGTGGGATGCTATTAACATCGGTTAGACAGAGAAAGTGTGAAGAGGAGACATTTAGCAAGAGGCCAGAAAAGATATGAGGAAGTTAGCCCATGTGGATACGGAGGAGAGAATGTTCTAGACTAAGAGAATAGCAAGTACAAAGCATGCTTGATATGTTCAAAGAACAGCAAGAAGGCCAACAAGGCTAGATAAAACACAGCAAAGGAGAGAGTGGTAGCATAAAAAGTAGAAGAGAGTAATGGAGCAGATGCTGTAAAACCTTATAGGCCATCATAAGGGCTCTGGATTGTGCTCTGGGTAAATGTGATGTGATCCATCATCTGTCTGTAGCAAGCTTCAAAGACAGGAAACTTTCCTACTTTTTCAGAGTAGGAAAACCAAAATGGATGCTACTGAAATAACACAACAGAAGAATGATGAGAGACTGGAAGGATGATAAAATTGGATATGTGAAAGTATATCTGATAAGATTTACAGATGGAATTAGACTGGAATATGAAGAAGAGAAAAGTAAAAGATGACACTAAAGTTTCTCATCTTAGAAACTGGGAAGAAGTTGTTCCCATTTAGTGGGATGGGGAAGATGAAGATGGAAAAGGTCTAAACATTTGAGAGAACACTAAAATGTGTTCTCTTGAACAAAGAGCATAAATTCCAAGGTTTCTTTCAGTTCAAGGATTTTTAGGGATCTACATACCCTATTTTAAAAAACAAGGTTTTCTCAAGAGGCAAATATAACTTAATAAATTCTAAATGGATCTGATGTTGTGAAAATTACTAAACTAATTTTGCACTTTCGGCAGAAAGATGTCAAGTCAGGTCATAGTTCCAGCAAATACTCTGTTATTACTTAGTTTAATTTAATTATATTGTGTATATAGATTATTTACATACCAGCCACTGCTGTCCATAAACAAATACATGACTTTTGGCAATGTCAACTCTATCCCACGCCAATGTAAGGATGAGCTGGTCAAATGCAGATGCATTAGTGCCTAATCAAATAAAGAAAATAGTTGACAAGTTTGATTAATTTGTCTCCATTAAAATGTGAACACTAATGAAATCTCCCTACCACCCTTTAATTAACTTACATGGCTAGTGTCAGCCACCCTTCAGAACTAGCCTGCCTCAGAGAGATAAGATTAACACCAGGGTTGAGGACTTTTATTTTCCAACTAGAGAAAGGACACGACCTCATTCATTGCATACAATTCAGAATGCAGAAAAATGAGAAGAAAACAAAATGTGTATGTATCACAGAAAGAATACTGTTAGGATTCTCAAAAATATCCTTTCAGGTGCTTTTCTGTACATATATAAATTTATACATATATAGTTGTTTATTCAAAAATGGGACCATACTATACAAAGTGTTCAGTAGTCTGATTTATGTACCTTAATATCATACCTTAGTTTTCCTTATATATATTAATACCTTTTATGTATATTAACCTCTTTAATGCCTTTTAAAGTTGAACCACAATTTATTCAACAAATAGTCCAACTAGTGGATATTCAGGTTATTTTGAATTTTTTAGAGTATATTTTTGTGCACATTTGATTACTTAAATAGGATGATTTTCTAGAAGCCAAATTGCTGGGTACAAGGATATATAATTTAGGGCTTTTGATATACTCCAAAAATATATTTCAGAAAGCTTATACCATCCACCAGGGGTATAAGAATATCCATTTCTCTACGTGCCAGGAGTGGGGGAGAAAAGCTTCTTTTTAATTAAATGTATTTTTACTTTTTTACTATAATATTGGCCATCTTTCCACATTTTCTCCAAGCATCTGGATTCTTCTGTTAACATGTTTTACATAAATGCCGACCTATTTTTCCATGAGGTACTCATATTTTTTATTAATCTATAACAACTTTGTATGATTCTCCCAATTTAACATTTCTTTTTTTTTTTTTCCTTTTTGTCTTTTTTCGTGTCCGGCAATGGATCGCAACCCTCAGTGTCGCGCCCGGACCGGGACCGGCAATGGGATCGCAACCCTCGGTGTTGCCCCCACACCTCGCTCAGCCAGTGAGCGGGAACCGGTCCGCATGTGGGATCCGAACCCTCGGTGGGAGCGCCACCGCGCTCCCAAGCGGCGCACTGTAGCAGTGCGCCACCGGGCCGGCCCCCCAATTTAACATTTCTATTCCCTAGTTTCCTTATGTATAAAATGAGGAACATAATAGGAAATCTACCCTTTAGGGCTGCTGTAAGGATAAAATGAGATAAACAATGTAAATCACTTCATCACAGTCTCTAGCACACAGAAAATACTCATATATGGCAAATACTACATGTATATGCTGCTGTCTTGAAATGTTATTTTTTATTTTTATGCAATCCCATTTACTGATCTTTTTATGGTTTCTAGGTTTCCTATCACTTATGATCTTTTGATCCCGAAATGATGTAAATATATTTTATTATAGTATTCTTTAAATGCTTGATGTACTGGCAATTTATTGCGGTCTAATATTTGGGAAATTCTTCTGAATAACAAGACAGTGTCTTCCTCCCCTGGTCCTGCCACATCACTGCATACTTTGACTTTCAGGTACCCGGATGGAACACGATTCTAGTTTCTAATTTTTGAAAAGATTTTCCACAGTAACATTATATCAGTTGGATGTCTTTGGTGAGATATTGAGAGGAAAACAGTTCAATGTGCATGTGCATTGATCTCTTAGTCCTAGAAGACACTACTAGTTTTCAAATATTCCGCTCAGAATGAAAACAATGTGTTTAAGAATCCTACCTTTAGCTTCTATCAATATCTTATTACCTTTAAACACTTATTTTTCTGCTGATTAAGAATGTGACACATTCTTGAATTACTGAAAAATATTCACTTCCCAAGCATTCAGCCAAATTACAAAGTCTTATCTTACATAAATAGGCTATAAAGATCTTACAAATAAAAACATTTTTTTAAAAAGCTTACCTTTTAGCAGTGCAGTAAGTATTGCTACATCTATATCTTGATGTTCATCAGATCCAATGTGGAAAACAGTGATCTATTTAAAGATTAATTCATAATATTACGACTTTACATTTTTAAAACAAAGGCATCATAAAACAGTAATTTCAAACTATCTGAGGGAAAAATATATATGTATTGGGGGGGGGGTTCAGAAAATAACTTCACTTCAACCAAAAAAACCCCAGAAAATTAGAAGATTTTATTATTTACCTAATAAAATGGCAAGTATACTCAGAATATTTGATTTTATATTACATTCATTTTTTTTGACCTATCTTAGGTCCTTTACAAAAGTAAGGAACTTACGGGCTCAGGCTATAGAATACCTACTAGAGTAAATCTGCTTTTCTTTTCACAGAATGAACACTTATTCATTCAAATTAACACATGTATTCTTGAATAAGAAATGTTTGTTCAATCCTTTTATTGCAAATGCCTTTAAATTAGTTGAAACGTAACACCATTTCACAAGTTTTTATTTAACAACATTTTTCATACAGTAAAAAAGATTACTATTATGACCTCGATACAAAGTTTTCAACTAATGTCATTTGATAGCATACAAAAACTTGCAATGAAAGCAAATCAAATTGTGTTATCACCTATTTATAGAGCTGTTAAAAAATTTTAACTCTGAAAACTTATGCCCGTGGTTATGTGATTAAAACTAAGCAGCACTTTAATAGGCTTAAGCACTCAGAGTAAAACTGTTTAAAATTTTTTCCAAATATTTTATTAGAGAAGCCATTAACTCTTTACAGTTCTTCCTTATATTAGACATAATCTGTGGAGACCTAGTTATGAGACTCTTTGTAAAACAGAAGAGCAAATATGAAATGCAAATATAGTTTCAATACCATATTAAAAAAACCTATAATCCTCCTCCTATGATACCCCTCAGCTTGAACAGACCAATAAGTCATATCTTTACATGGTTAAAAAAAATGTAAAAATTTAAAATCCAAATTAAAAACAAAAGTATTTCACAAATTTAGGGCTGGCCCAGTGGCGCACTGGAGAGTACGCTGCTTGGGAGTGCGGCGGTGCTCCCGCCGAGGGTTCGGATCCCATGTAGAGACCAGTTCCCGCTCACTGGCTGAGCACGGTGCGGGCACGAGGCCGAGGGCTGTGATCCCGTTACCGGTCAGTAAAAAAAAAAAGACAAAAAAGGAAAAAAAAAAAAAGTATTTCACAAATTTAGAATGTACTCTGTGGTGCGGGCACGAGGCCGAGGGCTGTGATCCCGTTACCGGTCAGTAAAAAAAAAAGACAAAAAAGGAAAAAAAAAAAAAGTATTTCACAAATTTAGAATGTACTCTGAAAGAAATAAAAAGACTTATCCTGCTGAAATGTGCTTACAAGCTCCTTTCTTTTCATGCACTCCATCAGTGTTTGAAATAAATGAACTGCTTCGCTCTGGCCAAAGTTAAATGTTTTTTTGATGGTTGAAATAATATCAGGCTCTGCTGCATCAGGAAGATTCCTGGAATAAGAGCAAATATAACTTAATTTACTGATTTCCTCTTCCATTATTTTGTAGGATCAATATGAAGAACAGGTTGATCCATACAAGACCTCTGGAGATACTATATTAATACGAAATATTTGACCTTGGGCAAAATTATTTTCTTCTTCCTGAGACTCCCACTGTAAGTCTTAAGGGGAAAAAATGGAATGGAGTGATTTTTCTCTCTGAATTACTTTATGAATTTTTTTTATAAAGAATGTGTTGCAATGTTAGTACTCACATTTTATAAGGTATTAAGATAACTTTAAGATACTATGGTGTATAAAGGAGTATTTCACCAAGAAGTCTTAAACATCAGCACATTCACACTTTTCTTTTTTTGAACAGGTAGTACATTTTACATGGCTCATAAATATAGTAGAAAATATAAAAACACAAATATAAAAATTCATAGTGTAAGTCTCTTTCCCACTGTCTTTCAACTGCCCAGTTCCATCTCAACTGTTTTCAGGAATCATTACTAACTGGAAAGCTTTCAAGATCTCTTTCTATATATACAAATAATCACCCCTCTCCTTTTTTTCTACGTAAAAAGTGGCATAATACACATGCTACTCTACATCTTCCTGTTTCCACATACATATTTTGGTAATCTTCCCAAATCTAGTATACAGACACCATCCTTACTCAGCTATAAACTATTCTACTTTGTACATATATACCATAATTTATTTGTTTAGTCCCTTTCTGATAGATGTTCTACCTTGTCCCAAGCTTTTAAAAATGGCCTTATAATGAGTAATTTCACACATGTTATTTCACAGCTGTACATCTGTAGGTACAATTCCCAGAAATGGCACTACTGGGTCAAAAGATATGTGCTTCTGTGTTTGACAAATCTTGCAAACCATCTTCCATGAAGATGGTTGTATCCACTCCAATAACTTAAGAGACAGGCTATTTCCTTAAACCTTAACAAAGTACGGTATTAAGCTTGAAATTTTAATGTTCATAAAACACTGAAAGGAATCCAATATTTTAAAAACCACAAGCCTCTTTAATAATGTTATTAAAAATCTGTTATACTCATACACTTACCCTCCTTCTTCTGTTTGTTTATGAATATATGCTAGTAGATCTGCAGCTCTGCCTGTTCCTTCACATACAACTACTGGAACAGGGGGACTTTCCTGAAGGTATTCCAGAACTGTGAGGATAACATTTGGCCCACCCTCAAATATAAGTGCCACCACAGGGACACCCTGGCCAATTCCTAAAAAATTAGGCAAAATTCAGTAATTTAATCTTATTTTTTACTAAATAAAAAAATTAAAATCAAAAGTCAAAACAATTTCTTACTAGACTGTTGACTTCACTTTAAGCACTCAACATACAAGTCTTGCATAAATAAATAATTTCCTGAAGAAATTACTTTGTCACTAATTTATAGTCTACTTTAAATGACAAAAGTTAGAAAACCCAATATATATATAACTTAGCACACACACCAGGGAACTTATATATTCACTGAAAAGTAAACTGTTTTGTATATTTTACTAAACTGAGCTCTTGACAAGAAATTCATAATACCAATATATTTTTTAGTTTGCCTTTTTTGGGGGGTGGGGGTGGGGCAGTTGGCCAGTAAGGGGATCCAAACTCTTGACCTTGGTATTATAACACAGCACTCTAATCAACTGAGCCAACTGGCTAGCCCTTAGTTTCCTTTTAATACTGTATTAGTTGAACTTCTAACATACAAGATCTGCTTTTCTATTGTATGTCTATTTTTATTCATTTTTCAATGTATATTTCTGATTTCAAATGCACTGAGACTCTAATATAGAAATCAGTGTTAGAATTACATAAATGCAACTGATCAATAAAATTCCAAGATCTCTAAAAGAGCAACAGAATATCAACTTTTTTTATTACAACAACCTGTAGTACAGTGAGAAAATACAAAAGAGTGGTAACTGAAGGATTATAAAACATTGCTAATTTTTAGCAAATGCCCTGACTCCACCAAAATCTGAAAGCACTGTTCTGTAATTTTGTATTTCTATTTTACTCCGTCATAGAGCTCACGTTCTTGGCGTCCTAGGGTTATAAACCTAGGTGTTGAACTAAAAAGTTCAGCTATGGTTGGAAAGGAAAATCAGTCCTAAGAATACCAACTTTTAAGATACATCTGCCAAACAATGATACCTATAAAGTGGAGTTTTTCCTTTTACTTTTCAATCTTGGATTTTGAAGCTATGTATTAGAATATATCAAACATTAAGAATATTTGTGAATTTCTTGGGCTGCAATAGGGTTACAATAGCAACAAAGCTTTCAATGAAACTTTTTGATTTTGATCTCAACACCTGATTACTCTATTTGGACTGAGACTTCTTTTCCTAGGTCTCATTATTTTGTCTAAGACTACCCATTCTTGGTTGTTTCATATGTTATCTTGCTATGTAAGGAAAAGAGCACTTCAAAGAACATTCTACCTTTCTAGAATGTTGCTGGCTATTAATACAGCCCAGAATAATCTCAACAGTAACAATTTTGTGACTCTTACTAGCATGAATTCTTTGCTGATTAATAGTTTTTTCAAGTTCTCTTCTCAATCTGACTTCTGCCCCATACTTTCCAACAGTGCCATCATCCACCAATATGAAATGGGAATGCAGATTATTCAGAACATTCAATTTGCTCAGGGGATTCAATAAGGTTTGATAAGGAGCAACCACCTAAACAATTGCAAACATAAGAGTTAGTGGGCAGGATTAAACCTAATATAAAATAAATTTTAAAATAATCTAAAAATAAGTAAGATGTAAAATTCTATTGTACTTATATAAATAAATAGAAAATGATAGAGAATATATCAAAAAGCATAAGCTTTTAAGCAGCTGAGGAAGATTAATCAATAAACGGTTGAACCACACAATTACATCTTGACCCTTATTAAAAAATTATATATTTCATCAACACATGTAAAGGGAGAAGCAAAAAATAAATGTAAAAAAAATAGTGCAAAGAAAAACTATTATCAGGTTATAAAGTGAACAAACTGTAACATAAAGTACACTGAAAAGAAGCAATAAAACTGTCACATTGCTATTTTTCTAGCCATAAGGAGAATCTTTAAAGCAGTATCAGAAATTTAATAACACCTGAAAGTGATTGTTATAATTCAGTATTTCCTTTTTAATGGTCTCAATAAATATTTATAGCTAATTCAAATATCATTAACCATTCAAATAAAATGATAGCATTTGATTCCTACTCTTAGTGACAATAAAATTAATTTTTAATGTCATGTAATCAAAAATCTAATTATAAAGACTGATACCCTATGGAAAATGTGTCAAATAATTTTATACACAAAAGACAAAATTCAAAATGCACCAACTCCATCATAACAATTAATTATATTTATAAATGCATTTTCAAAAGGGTCAGAAGAAAATCACAGGAAAATAGTTTAAAACTTAATTTGAAAAGATGGTATGATCATGAATATTTTAAGGTGACTTGCACAGTTCCTGCTATAATTTTATGTAAAAATCATTCTTACATCTCTCCCAACAAGGTCATTTCTGTTTTCGATTACTCCCCATGGAGCTATTCCAATAGTGCAAATCTTTGGAGATGATCTGGAAGCATGTTCCTTGAGGGCATCACCAACATGTTTTGCCACACCTGTTCATACAAAAGTTTATTCATTTTACTTGAAAGTGTTATTGTGTTCAGAAAAATCCTGTGCTCAATCTGCAACATTAAAATTTGTAATATATTTCTTTACACATATAAGATATAAGGCAACAAGATCCAAAGCCAAACTTATGAAAGAATGCACAAGAAACAAAAGAGAATTAAAAAAACCCACAATACGGTAGATCTATCTGCAATTGTTTGAGGGACCTCCATACCATTTTCCATAGAGGCTGCACCATTTTGCAGTCACACCAACAATGTACGAGAGTTCCTTTTTCTCTGCAACCTCTCCAGCATTTATCATTCACAGTCTTTTGGATATCAGCCATCCTAACTGGGGTGAGATCGTATCTCAGTGTGGTTTTGATTTGCATTTCCCGAATGCTGATTGATGTTGAGCATTTTTCATGTGTCTGTTGGCCACTCGTATATCTTCCTTTGAGAAATGCCTGTTTAGCTCTTTTGCCCATTTTTTAATCGGATTACTTGTTTTTTTCTTGTAAAGTTGTTTGAGTTCCTTGTATATTCTGGATATTAATCCTTTGTCAGATGTATATTTTGCAAATATTTTCTCCCACTCTGCTGGCTGTCTTTTAACTCTATTGTTTCTTTTGCTGTGCAGAAGCTTTTTAGTTTGATATAATCCCATTTGTTTATTTTTCCTTTGGTTGCCCATGCTTTTAAGGAGTATTCATGAAGTCTCTACCCAGCCCTACTTACTGAAGTGTTTCTCCTATGTTTTCTTTAAGAAGTTTTATTGTTTCAGGGTGTATATTTAATTCTTTAATCCATTTTGAGTTGATTTTAGTATATGGTGAGAGGTATGGGTCTAGTTTCATTCTCCTGCATATGGATATCCAGTTCTCCCAGCACCATTTGCTGAAGAGGCAGTCCC